TGATATTCTCTGCTTTCAGCCAAGATCTATCGGACATCACCAATGATATCCCTCATTCCACAGCCTCCACTAAATCCAGATGGAACCTCTGAAAGTTCTCTGTCAACATATGATTGTAGCCGTTTCTGTATTACTTTTAGCAAAACTTTACTCGCATGGGATTTCAAAGAGATTATCCAATGATTTCCGCACTCTTTTGGATCACCTCTCTTTGGAATAGGCACAAATACGGATCTCTTCCAATCAGTCGGCCAGCCAGTTGTCTTCCAAATTTCTTGGCAGAGATGAGTGAGTGCCTCCTGTACCACCTCACTTTCTTGAAAGATTTCAATTTTGAGTCCACCAATTCCTGGTGCCTTGTTCTTTGCTAATTCCTTCAATGCACCTTGGACTTCCTCCCTGAGTATCATTGGTTCTTGATCATTTGCTACCTCTTGAAACGGCTGAACATAAACCATTTGCTTTTGGTACAGTGATTCTGTGTATTCCTTCCATCTTCTCTTGATGCTTTCTGCATTATTCAATAATTTGCCCAATGAATCTTTCAATAATAAAAGTCGAGGCTTGAATTTTTTCTTCAATTCCCCCAGCCTGAGAAATGTTGAGCGTGTTCTTTCTTTTTGGTTTTCTGATTCCAGATATTTGCACATTTTGTCAGAATATTTTGCTTTATTTTCTCGAGCTAATCTTTGAAATTTTCTGTTCAGTTCTTATACCACATCATTTCTTCCTTTTGCTTTAGCATCTCTACGCTGGAGAGCAAGTTTCAGTGTCTCTTCTGACATCCATTTTAGCCTTTTCCTTCTTTCTTGTCTTTTCAATGACGTTTTGCTTTTTTCATGTATGATATTTGTGATGTCATCCCACAACTCTTCTTGTCTTCGGTCTTTAGTGTTTAATGTATCAAAGCTGTTCTTCAGATGATCTCTGAATTCACATGGGATATATTCAAGGTCATATTTTGGCTCAGGTGGACTTGTTTTCATTTTTTTCAGCTTCAGTTTGAATTTGCATATGAGTAATTGATGGTCTGTTCCACAGTCTGCCTCTGGCCTTGTTTTCTCTGATGATATGGGGCTTTTCCATCTTCTCTTTCCACAGATGTAGTCAATTTGATTTCTATGTATTCCATCTGGTGAGGTCCATGTGTATAGTTGTCTCTTATGCTGTCTAAAGAAGGTATTTGAAATGAACAAATCATTGGTTTTGCAGAATTCTATCATACGTTCTCCAGCATCATTTCTATCACCAAGTCCAAATTTTCCAACTACTGATCCTTCCTCTTTGCTCCCAATCTTTGCATTCCAATCACCAGTATGGATCAATATATCTTGATTGCATGTGTGATCAATTTCAGATTAGAGAAGTTGATAGAATTCTTCTATTTCATCCTCACTGGCTTTAGTGGTTGGTGTGTAAATTTGAATAATAGTGGTATTAACTGGGCTTCCCTGAAGGAGCATGGATATTATCCTATCACAGACAGCTTGTATCACATGACTGATCTGGTTATGTTCTTTTTGACAATGAATACAACACCATTCCTCTTCAATTTGTCATTTCCGGCATAGTAAACGATGTGATTGTCAGATTCAAAATGGCCAATACAAGTCCATTTCAGCTCACTAACACCTAAGATAATGTTTATTCATT